ACTCTGAAATTCCAAGATATCCGGAATCGTCCCACCCCTACTTGCAAATAAATTATGTATACGAATTTAAACATTTGCCTCGTGAATCTCGTGATGATTCTACATTAAAAGATACTTCCCTACACATGATTCCAATCCCACCAAGATAAATGCCGAGTTATCAATCAAAAGTCCATAAAAGAAAGTCTTCTTCAATTAGAGCCGAAATTGATTTTTTTAACATGATCCAAATTCTTCACAATAAAAACATGACTCAATGATAAAGGTACATTTCCTAGTAATAAATTACAGCTACTGTTTATATAGGTTACACAACCACACATGCATGCCTACATGGAGGAATCAGTCATGAAGCTGTCCTAAAGAGAGTACTAGAGTTTTAAAACTTAAGACTTGGCCACATTCAATAGTGTAATTATGCTCGAGTCTTCGGCTATATACATTCAAAAGGGAGATCAAATACAAGAAGCCAAAATGTTTCGTCACATAATAATCAATTTCGTTTTACCAATGTTGATTTACAATCCTACGGTTTGACGAAGAAAACATAGTACCGATTCATAACTTATGTCATGTCCTGAGCAGCCATTCTTTCGCAAACATTTGACAGAGATTTGAGATTGCATCGTATTAGAGCTTCCACAAAGTAACAAGTCTCGTCTTTAGTGTTCCCTTCTGGTACATCCACCACGAATGATTCGATTACCATCGTGCCAGCTCTTCCATCTATTAGCTCTGGATGTACTGTAACAACCGATGAATAGTTCTGCAAGAACAATAGATGAAACCAAATCAGATTATTGACTCTTTATGATTGCCTCAAGATACAAAATTTATGAATTGAGTAGGTTCACTAAATCCATCAAAAACATGAATCCAGAAGTTTAGTCAATTGAAATGTACTAAAGGCTAGGTCTTGGAACAGAGCTCAAATCGAAGCTTAAGTTCATCGAAAAGGCAGCTAATTGGGGACACAGGGTACTTACTTTAGTAGCTCTATCAAGATCAGTGATCAAGTCAAAAGTGTTGAAGCTTTCCTAAAGAGAGTACTAGAGTTTAGTAAATTGGAATGTCCTGTAGACTAGTTCTTGGGATATAGGGCCAATCTCCATCAAAAACACCGATCAAACTCGAAGCTAAGTTCGTCGAAAAGGCAGCTAATTGAAGTCATAGGGTACTTACTTACTTACTTACTAGCTCTATCAAAATCAGTGATCAAGTCAAAATTGAAACTACTAGAGCACAAGTTTGTTTACCTTAAGCCTGTGATCACCACCAACGATTTTGATACCAAGAATGTGTTGATTATCATCAAAAAGCTCCAATCTTTCAGTGCTTGTAGTAGCTGGAAGTCCAGATTTAACATCAACCTCACGAACACTTCCAATTCCAATCTCACCTTTCATTACACACCTACTCACAAAAGGCTTATACTTTTGTGGCTGATCAAATCTCCTCACTAGAGACCAAACCT